TTTCATGTGGAGTTAGCTGTGGATCAGCATTGCCATCATTGTACACAAAATTAGCCTATTACTTGGATCGAGTCTATAGTTTGGCCAAACACCGAAACTAGTACACCGTACAGTTTTGTGTAGTCCAACAGTTTCGCTTCTTTTTATTATTCATTTGTGAACATATCCTATTTTTATAAGCAGGCCATGATTTCTTGTGTTTTTCTCAAACAGTTTGAAGGAAGTAAATTGTGCATAAATAGAAATTCGTAGAAACAAAAATTAGCTCCAAATCTATAACTTTAAGTTTCGTTTTCCTCCTCTAATTTAAATCAGGAACTAATTTTATTTGATCGATAAAGAAAAAAGATAAGAAGTCCAATTAAGATTAAGACTATAATTAAAAATATAGCCCCAAAGATTGCTCTTTTCGGGGTGCATAACAAAGCAATAGCATTGATTACTGTAGGGACTGCGTCAAGTAACCGCGAAATAGCATCCAATGTCATTGTAGTATTGAACGTGATGATTGAGAAGGTGTGTCAAAATTCAAAATGTCATTGATTGGATTATTTCAATTCGCATAATCTAGATGCTACATTGGATAACCTTGAAATAGACAAAACATTGAATGTTTTTAAAATAAAATGTGAGAAAAATACTTCAATTAAATTTGTTTTCATTGTCTATTTTAATGAAGAAAAAAAACAATGTGATTTATTTCAGATAGCAGAGTACTAGTAAACAAGAAACTCAGAAACATTTTGTTTTGAACAGCTAACAGTGAACGAAAGCGAAAGATTTGTGAGAAAAATTCGTGATTTTGAAAGCAAAAAACTATGGATAGATACTCACCAATTGTAATTTTGAATGCATTTCGCCATCAATGTTAAATTTTCTGGATTCAAGCCGAGACAATCACCTACTAGGGAACGGCAGTGAAAAAAATATTCTGTTCTAGGTAGTAATTGGGCAGAATGTATGCTTTATCTGATGCGATGCGATACAAAATCAAAGGGAAAATCAAGAATTAAAAATGAACTGACGTAAAAAGCGAAGTGAATTCATTCATTGTGATTTTATTTCATCATCAACAATATTACAATACACATTTTCTTTAGAAATCGTTTGAACTCAAATCGAATCACACTAATCTTTTTTTTCGAAATTAAAATCAACTGAATTGATTAATCCCCCTTGGTTACGACAATTGCTACAACAACAATTACAACGATAATTAAAATAATGAAAAATATCACGACGCAAATTATAATTAATTGTTTTGTGCTGCAACCACTGTTATCATTGTGATAACCATTACGGTAGTGACGCTGGTGATGTCTTTCTGCATAATCACCATCATTGACATGATGATCTTCATAGTCTGGAGGATTCCCAGAACCGCCAGGGTAACTTGGTCCACTAGGACGTTGTATCCCAGGCCCCGGTAACGTCGGACGTATACTTGGTCCACTAGGACGTTGTATCCCAGGCCCCGGAAACGTCGGACGCGTACTTGGTCCACTAGGACGTTGTATTCCAGGCCCCGGAAACGTTGGATGCGTACTTGGTCCACTAGGACGTTGTATACCGGGCCCTGGGAATGTCGGATGCGTACTTGGTCCACTAGGACGTTGTATCCCGGGCCCTGGGAATGTCGGATGCGTACTTGGTCCACTAGGAAGTTGTATCCCGGGCCCTGGGAATGTCGGACCAGGTCTGGATATTCCTGAGCTTGGAAATGTAGGAGAAATGCCGGGTCTACTACTCGAACTTGGGAAACTTGGACTTGGTCTTGAAGAGCTCGGGAATGAAGGAACAGACCTACCGCCACCAAATCCACCTCCGTCTCCTGGACGGCTTATACCAAATCCACCTCCACCTCCTGGCCGGCTAATACCACCACCTCCACTTCTACTGCTACTGAAACCTCCTCCACTGCTCAAACCGCCACCGCCGCCGCCTTGTGAGAACGAAATTTTCATTAGCACCGGAAATATATTTATTATTTTGATTTATTTATTTACCGCCAAGACTTCTGATATTCATTTTTAGACGAAAACAGCCGTTTTAATATTTTGGAATGAAGATAAACTTATTTTTCAATCGAAACAAAACTGACACAAAAATCAAAGTGATAATGTTCTTCTAATGTTGACGTATGGAGCAAAGAAAAGCGATATTTGAATTTCAATTCAAAAATGTGACGGTTATAAGCTTTAAATGGCAACTAGTCCAGTATTCTTTGAAGATATCACCGTTACAAACAATTGTGAATATGGAGTCACTCACATCAATTGCTTTAAACAAAATGATTCGTTAAAATCTTCGAAAGTGAAAAACGTTCAACATATGATGTTTGACAGTCTCAACCTCAATGTTTCTCAAAAGTCAAACATCCATTCCAATTTGTCGATAAACCGACACGATCATATGATACTTTTTTTTTGCTTCACACATTTTAGAGTATTTTTTTGTGCTTTGTTGTATGTGGTTGTGCTAACTTATTTTCTCAATTTGGACAAGGTAATGTATTGATTCACAACACATGAACACACCAGGGACTCGTTTGAGAAAAAGAATCGTAAATTGTTAATAAAAAGAATAAAATTGAAGTCCAACGTGTTTTATTGATACATTTCTACATATATGCTCAAAGAATCTAGGTCATGATGATTTGATGCGTAAAAACATCCAGGACGAAAATGGGAAATGTACGAACTTTAATCAAACATGGGCACCGCAATTAACGCAGTAAACTCCTGTTGAACGGAACGATTCTGAACAGTAGACAAATGGAGCACATGGGATGAAGCTAATGAAAAAACAACAAATATTTTGAATAATTAGTACTTTTCACTCAATTGATATGTGATTTCTTATCCAATTGCACAAAGTAACAAGAAGCAAAAGTGTATTACGCAAGTTGATTCATAGTCCACACAAGTGCAAGTTATGGTGTATTACAACTGCGACATGTTCCAGATACACTCGAATCATTGACCACAATATCTAAACATACAATAAAAAGTAAGTTGTAAACAATAGTTTAAATAGCCGTTCATAGCTCATTGAATGACTCACTTTGAATTAATGGTTGAGGTGCTGGAGCATTAATTATGTTATTCACAATGATAGGCTATGATGGCACTGGTGACGCCATCATCATTTGTGGCTGCATTATAACCAGTGCAACCATCGGAGCTGACGGTTGCAATGGTGGTGGTACCGCTGAACACTTCATTGCTTCTTCATATGACGGAGCAGATGCCATTCCACGATAGATGATCTTCAAACTTTCGAAAGAACACTTCAAATATCGAGTTTATAAAAGAAACTATTTTAATTAAATGTGGAATTTCAAAGACCTAAAAAAAGGATATCGTTTTAAATTTTTAAATTTGTATTATATAGCATTCACATGTTGGAATCTCTTTATAGAAAAAATAAATTTAACAACCAATTCAAGTTTAACAACCAATCTGACTGAGAAGATAATGTCATTTGTCGACTGTGGAATGAACACAATTAATTGACTCTATGCTGGTGATTACTTCTCAGGAAATTCAACATAATTTATTTCAAGATATTGCAAGCTGATGCATATAATTTCATCAAAAATGAACACACAAATAGCAACACCAAAGAAGCAAGATAAATTGAAAATATTCACGCCTCATATTCAAAAATTTCCGAGATTCTCGGACCGAGAAATTTCAACGTTTGTATCCAGAAGTTGTGATAGTAAAATATGCATATATTTGCAAAGTATAAGAAATCAAGCGCAATTAAAATCTATTATGCGTAAAGAAAAAACTCAAGAGGAACTCAATAAATGAAACGTTATTTCAATTCACATCAATGTATGTAGTTGCGACCCATCAATCCATTGAATTGAGCACTTTCGTCCAACTAGAATATATTCGAATCATTCAAGCAATTGTTAGTCTAAGTAATCGTCATGTTTAACTTGAAATGATCAAACTGGCAGCTTCGAATATTATTTCTTCATTCCCAATCAGCAGGGGCGATCAACAGCAGTGCTAAGCTCAAACGATAAACAGAAATTCTGTTTTTTATCATTATTTATTATTATACTTTATGCATCAAAAACATCAACAATTTTGTACACAATGATTCAAGGGTCTAGATGCACTTTATCACTTGTTGTGATTTGTGTACACATGCAAAATTCCTATGCAAAAAACCAAAATCACTATGTTTTCTTTGAAAATGCCTCACAAACGTGGAGAAAAAATATTGGGATGGATGCCACCAAAAAAAGAGTGATAAAAATAATGACACCTTGGGTAAAAGATGGTAATTTTTGCCAACCATTTTTACTTCGATAATAATCTGCGGAAGAAACGAAAATAAACATATTCTTTTGTTAGTAATATGGTGAATGTGCTTACGAATGGCTGGATGTACTGTTGTTGTAGTTCCGAGTGTTGTTTTATATGGCAATGTAGTTTGAGTAGTCTTATTTCCAATGAAAATTCGCATAATTCCACTCCAATTTCGACGTATGCCGGATATTTCAACCACAAACTATTTATAATTCAAGCGTATAAAGGGAAAAGAAAGGATTAAATAGGAAAGGACCGTATATAAAGAACATAGAAATTTATAAAACTAATTTAGCAATAAAAAGTATTTAAAAAAAACTACCTTCAGTACATAATAACATTGAATAATGTGACAATACATGCTATCTGGTTCCAAAGTTGGTAAGCTCAAATGTTCACAGATTATATTTGAACTATGAGTTTCTATATAAATGGTCAAGCGGAATAATGAAACGTAATTCTGTTTTTAGATGAAGTGCCTCTGAGAAAATTTTTCAGTAAAAGTGCCCCACAAAAATATTGTCTGAATAAACGACACGTGAATTTGTTTTCATGCAAAAAAATTCATGTACCACTTTTACTGAAAACAAATTTACGAGGCGATTCAAATTGAACATTTTTCGTGGGGCACTCTTTCATACAATATTTTCCGGTGACGTCACTCGTATTTATCACATAGTGCAAATTGAGTGATAAGGAGCTCGAATTTCGATGTGGCGATAACACCAATGGATTGGGCACAAAAAATACTGTATTAGAATCGAAAAAAAAAATTTAATCTTTTTTTTTCGATTTTTGCGTGTGTTGGACCGTCAACATGGGAAGTTTGTATGAAAACCTCGGAGCGCCGCTGCTATTGCATTGGCTTCTATGGCCAAATGTACACATGGAAATATCTCGAAAACGGCTGGCTAAATCGAAAAAATGGACCATGGTGTCACTCCCTAAAGGGAGTGTTAACACCCGGCTGGTTTGATGGCCTAGAATACAAGCGAGCGGTTCTGTTGTTCGTAACACAACAGCTTGTAATACGAGTTAGTAAAAAATTTCTCAGAGGCACTTCATCTAAAAACAGAATTACGTTTCATTATTCCGCTTGCCCATTCATATGTCCCATTGAGATTTCTGCGACATTTGTCACAACATACCAATCTATCGTTTGGCCATATTGATGTGAATTCACGGTGAACTGTTCGATTCGTTGTAGAATTAATCGAATATTATTCACCCTAGTATTGGTTTCATTATCAACATAGATTGTAATAGGAATGATCTCTCCTGACAAAAATCCTCTGACCGGAATCGTAACGATGGCGCGAATCGGTTGAGACCCACAACATGAACAGCAAAACGTTTTTTCGAGCACTAATTTCGATGGCTCCTACTCGAATACAACGAACGAAATGAAGAAATATAACATTAAATTTGAGTATTTAAGAGGAAATAAGAAATATTAATATCCAATACGAGAGGGTTTAAGTTCTTAAATTCTGTTTGAAGCTCGGATTTTTCAGAAAACCGCTACAAAACTAGATAATTACGACACGATCAAATCAACGCAAAACAAACTAAATACCAATTTTCAAATTCTTTCATAACCTAAATCCAACCTTACTCTCAGGAATTCCATCCAAATCCACTTGCAAATTGACAAAAAATTCTACGTTCACTTCTTGATCGAGTTTCCATTTGTATTTCAAAACCGCTGTAATCACGTATCGAACATGTCCGTATTTGCCTTTATAAGAAGATGGAATTTGCTCGGGCAGAATAAATTTAAACGGATAAATGTGTACACCAGCGGATAAGTTGATCTCTACATCTGCACCTGATCCAATTAAATATTGACTTTGATCAAAATAAACCTCATTGCTGCTGTAAACTTGATGTTCGTTCGTATCGTCAAAACACCCATAGTCGCGACACTCGTACCAACTTGTATGTGCCTCACCCAGAAATCGGTACAACGCTCCTTCAAATGCATTAAATAAGATGGCAATCAAATTGAATACCACCAAAAATTAACATGATGATTTCATTTTCAGCTTGTAATTTGAACGTTTATCAAACAATTTCATTTGTGAAGTGAAAAAATGTCGTGCAAAATCTTGGATTCGCTTAATTTTCTTTCTTTCCGGTTGTAAACCTAGCTATGTGCCTCACCACAAATCCTTTTCTCCGACGCTAGTGATAACTTCAACAAACCACACATCAATTGACCCGGACAATAGGTATTGGACTGACTATCCAGTCAGATTTCCATTTTTGGTTCCATTCAAAAGTATTTGACAAAAACCACTTATTCTTGTTTACCAATCGAATGGTCTGGTTACTGCGTTTAAATTCGAAATACAAAAATCAATTTGAGGCATTTTATTCAATCTGGCTACATTCATAAATTAAGTATATTTTTTACCGTAAAGAATGGAAATGAATATAATGATTGTTTTATGTGTTTTAACAATATTAACAAGATCTACACAGAAGAGCGGGCTCGTTGGAGTAACTGGAAAACATCATAACAACATAAGTTCATTTTCGTAATGACAATAAATTCAATTTCCACTTTTTGATCAAGTTTCCTATTGAATTTAAATGTCGCTCTGATTGTGTATCGAATATATCCATGCCTGCTT